CATGTATGAGGTCTGAAGCATACAGATTCTGTTGGAGAACAGGTTTGCATCACAAGATGGTATTTCCTTTCCTCATTCATGAGGTCTTGCCCCTCAATTTCCTAGCCCTGGTCTACAGTAGGGAGTTATTTCGAAATAACTCTTTTTATTTCAAAATAATAAGCCAAGTGTCCACGCTACCAAGCCTGTTATTTCAAAACAACAGGGCCAGCCCTGTATTACATTCTCACCTCCAGACACTGACTCACTCCAACCCAGTTTCAACTCTGGGCCTATATCTGGATTCATTTGGCTTTTCTGTGGACTCTGGCCATCTTATTTGATGGTTGGCCTGCATCTGGACTCCATCTGTGATACTTATTTATCTTGTCTACTGACTGACCTTGGTTTGGACCCATTGCCTGTCCCAAATCCCAAGTTCAGCACTGTCCTGAGCCCAGGACCAACTGTACATCTGGCTTTGGCCACTACTCCAACCACCAGGCCTGACTTCCTAGAACCCGAGCCTCAGACACCTGATATCGCTATAGTGTACATTTGATACAACATAAGAAAAGACTTGTGCATGAAAAAATAATAAATATACATACAATGCTATGTAACTAGAAGTGCCTATAAATATGGCTTATAAGAATGTAGGGGTTATATGATAACACAGTGCACACTTATGTACAAACATTAAATAAAAACTATGTAGCTGTCACCTTATTTGTGAAGAGGCAGTATACTTTTGACATGCATATTCACTGAAAGCCTCTTCCTTCAGTCAGCCACTTGATTTGTGTCCTTTAGGTGCTCCGCTGCTTCCCTCAGTTTCTGTCTCTGTTTGAGAACCCCGGTTGAAAGGGTTAGGACAGCAATGGGCAATCTAGGCTAGTGAATGGGCTGCATGAGTGTCCCTTCTTCATCTCAGTGGGTTGCAAGATTGTTGTAGCCAAGGTTGTCTTCTGGGTTATGGTAGTTTTGCTAACTGCGCATGACTGCCTAGAATTTGTGGGGAGTGCCTATGAACCATGGCAGCACTTTGATTGGATGCAGAGGATGGACATGGCTCTTAACAGTCAATATTTGCAATCAGCACACACCTCACTTCACATGCCCTTGCTTTACATACATGTCACTTTAATAATGCTGGTAGGAAAAAAACCTACATGCATGGAAGTCAGCGGAATCTGGCAACTCTGTGTGTGGACAATGGTAAACAAAATGTCTCGTGAGACACGTAGATGCTAATTGCATCCCTCCATTTTGTGAGGGGGGATGTGGGGATATTAAATGTGAAGATTCATATAGACCATGTCTGGAGAACACAAAGTATGTTTGCTGGTTCAGTTTCAGGAAGTTTAATTATCTACTAACTGATTTAAGTATTTCATCTAAAATCAGATTTTGAACTAACACTATTGGGAGAGTGAAAGATTACTTTCATAGCTGCTTTATGGTTTAAAGCAATTGCTCTTTGGCTTTCTTTGACCGCCACTTTGCTTCCTATCTCAGAAAAGCCAATGGAGTTTGAAGATTTTACTCTTTAAAAAAAAATCTTGCATACTATATGAAAACATCCCTGCATCCCCTTTATGTTGAGTTCCCATGTTTATGTGCTCACTAGAGAGTGACAAATGATCTGGCTAAGCATGGGGATTTACTGGAGAAGCTTGTGCAACATGGTGTGTGATGGTTGGAGGCCTGAGGGATGCAAAGGGGGATTCTCTTCTCTGTTCTTTGCCTGACTTCAGAGTTTCAGATTTATTAGGACAAAGTGAGAATACCACAGAGCAGCCCCAGTCCCCTCTCTTCAAGTGTCCCTGAAAAAACATAGTTTGACTGATAGAAGCAGTCAGGTGAGGCAGTGAAAGAGGCCATCACACAGCAGACATGCAATGTCAGTGTTCTCTTCTCTCTCCTGTATCCTTTGTTCTTTCTGTGTTCAGAAACTGTCACTCTGAAATCCTGCAATCCACCGTCTAGTGGTCTTTGGTTATTGGGCTTTCTGGAGAGTTAGGTGAACCAAGGAAAATTGCCTCTTCATTTTTTTTTTCACACCAATCCCAGCTAAACACTGTGTTTAAAAGACAGAGAACTCAATTGCTCTTCATTCCCTTTCCTCACCTTGATCTTTTTTATGTCCTATTTGTCTGTCTACACACTGTCCATTTGCCCTTTCCCTTAGCTAAAAGGAATAGAAAGATTGCAAATGGATCCATCCATCTGGGAGCTCAGCTGATTTCTTCCCCCTTTCTCCCCCCCTCCCCCCCCCGCCCCAGTCCGTGAAAAGCTTACTGGGTCAGCCACCAGG